GCTCTCTCGAATAATATCATTAAAAAAACATTTCGAGAGAGCCCTTAAGGCTATGAAGGAGCAGGTTTTTCTCAATATTCCCCATAGGTAGGCACATTCATGGGGCACTAGAGGGCGCTTTGCGCGCGTACGAAAATCTTAATGGCCTTGCTGCAGTGGGTCGGCAATAATCAGCCCAAAACTTGGATATGGGAGGGTGGAAGGATATATCTTTTTTATAATGTTATCTGGTCTTACCCTTAACCATCCTATGTTTAATCTATGTAGAAATAACATGCGAGTACGATAAGAGACATCGGGCCCATTACTGATGCAACTTTTAAAATATTAGCCTAGAAATGACCACCAAACGGAAAAAATTGACATTTTTTCCCGACAAATCTTCATAAAATCTGATTTATAAACAAGTCACATCTAGGTACACTAATACAAATACGATTTTCTGAAAATTCAGGTATTATTTTTTAAGTTTCTTTCAAGTATATTTCTGCGCATTGCAGCGCCAATGTTCTTCACTGCTTCAAAATCACCCTTGAAATTTTTTTTTTGCAACAAATTTGTTACGAGGTCCGCGAGTGTTCCCCGTTCCTTGCGTGTTGAAAGTTTGGTAATACATAGTTTACATTGACTCGCGCACGAAAAAATGGTCGAAAACAAAATGTCAAATGAAGAAATAAACAAGCTTTTGTATAGTTATAAGAGTTCTACCGAGGTTTCTTTGTCGATTTAATTTATTATATAGTCTCAATTAGAATTCAGAATTATCTCACTGAAAAGTTAAGAAACCGACGATGTTCTCGATCGTAGTTATTTTCATTTTGCCAGCAGCCGATCTAGCGTTGTTTGAGCAAAAAGCTAGGCCGCTGCCTTCCCATCGCAAACCTTTCCGAGTCCCGCTAAAATGGCGCGCTGCGGAGCTCCGAAGCTGCGTTGGTATCGCTGCAAACTCTCTGCCGGCTAGCTCCCCACGACGGACCATTCGCGGTATGGCGAGAGTGTGTGTGTGAGGTACGATTTTGGATTCGAGAACGCACATAATGCAACCGTGCGCGTCATATTCAGCTGTCGAATGTGTACGACCAATTTTACATGTACGATTTTTAGTACAGATACTTGGTCAGTTTTCTTCTTATATCTTTGGTTTTACAACATTTAAAAATATAATTTCTTCAAATTTGCTCCTGACTCGGTTCAGACTAATTGTGTGATGTGTTTTCAAGTCAATTTTTTGAATATATTTTTTGCATGAATTTGCCTACCATAGGGGGCCACCCCAAGAATTCAAAAAATATCTTGGTCAAAACAGCGATTGAAATGTTGTTTGCATCCTAGCTCCAAAATTTGCCACTTTCCTGAGCCGCGCCCCCGCGGCTTAAGTAGGGCTAGACGTAAGGATGATATCCAGGTGCTTTTTTTTTCGCTAGCCCCAAGGGATCATTTGGCCTAACAGTTTGAAAATACCCTTCCCACATTTTTGGAATCAGCTTATTAGAGAGGCGTGAGCTCCGCTCAGTCCAAACCATGGTTACATTGCGTAACATCTGCGCGTATAGTGAAGGAAAGTATGGATAGCCGTCGCACCATAAACCCCGGAAGTGAATACACGTTATAGTCAATGGCAATATCGCGGAGACAACGTGGCTCAAGCTGCAAGTTGTGCATGACATGCGTACGCTATGCATACGCTTGCATATCGGGCGATACAGCTGTTTGGCTAAATTTAGAAAAACAACATAACTCTTTTTTGTGGATTCTGAGCAAAATCCTATGAATATTGCAGCGTTTTGAAGGGGCTGTATCTTTTGATAGAAACATCGGTGAGACTTGAAATTTGAAATGTATTATTCTGACTACATTTTTAATTCAAATATCAAACAAAAATGGTGAAAAACGATCCCAAATTGAAAATTGAAAAATCGTTCAGACACCCTACTAAAAGTCGTACATGTAAAAATGTCCTTACTCTTATTTTTCATTCGACAGCTGATAAATGACGCACACAGGTGCATTACGTGCATAACCAAAACCAAAACCGTACCTCGCAAACGCACTGTCCCCGGAACACGAATAGTCCGTGGTGGGAAGCTAGTAGCGGGCTGGCAGTTTGCCAACGAGGCTAATGTGCCCATCACAAATTTTATGGGACTCAAAAAGTTCACGGTGGGAAGGTACCAGGCTAGCTTTTTGCCAAAACAACGCTAGACCGGGTGCTGGCAAAATGAAAGTAACTACATGTACGACAGAGAACATCGTACATGTACAGTAGGTGTTCTTAACTTTTCAATAAGACGATTCTAAATTCTAATTAAGACTACATGTATATAATAAATTAAACTAACAAACAAACATCGGTAGATCTCTAATAACTATACAAATGCTTGTTTATTTCTTCATTTGACATTTTGTTTTTTCAATCCATTTGTTCATGCGCGAGTCAATGCAATCTATGTATGACCTAACTTTTAACACGCAAGGAACGGGAAGCACTCGCAGACCTCGTATCAATTTCTTTGCCCCCAAAAAAATTGTTTTTGAAGCAGTGATGAAAATTGGCGCTGCAATGCGTAGGATAAAGACTTAATTTTCAGAAAATCATATTTGTAAGTAGGCGTGGGTATTTTACACCCCAGATTCTTGGTAGATTTGCTGGAAAAAATCTCAATTTTTTTTCAGTTTGGTGGTCATTTCTAGGCTAATATTAAAAAAGTTGAAATCTTACATGAAGGAAATGAAACATATTTACCTATCATTTAAATTCATGTTTCTTGCATCTCATCTAGATAGGTGCTCAACTTGGACAAAATGAGTAAATTCACGGGAGTCGGTAGGGGGCTGTTTATGCAGCCCAACTCTACTGATCCTGAAGTCGGGAGAGCTTCATCACCTACAAACAAGGACCTGTTGTCCCCAGGTCCACCAAAACTTGTCTCGTATGAAGAAGATGATGATGCTACTGGGGAGGATAAGGACAGTTCTGAACATTTTGCTTTGCCTGAGGAATCTACGGAAGACAGCTGTGCAGGAGATGGGGTTACAGAGGAAGCAACTAAAGAGCTTCCGCAAAGTTCAGAATGTGAACCTCCTCCAGACCAGAACTCAAATATGATAGATGATGCTGTTGAATCCAGAGAACCTGAAGTAGCAGACAAACCAGAAGCACATGTAGTAGACAAACCAGAAGATGCTCAAGCACCCCCATTGGAAGACCACACCAGTACCAGTGTGGACAATGATATCTGCGAGAGTGAACCTTCTGCTTCGCCAAATCAGGACAAAGCTCCAGAATGTGATGAGAATGTCCCTTCTGCTGTAGTGCCTCTCCTGGAAACAAATGAATCTATGATTGCAGATGCTGATGCTACTGAGGAGAAGGCAGAGGGTGACAATGAAAGTAACATTGACGGAACAGACGAGTCACCAGATGATCCAGCTCCGGTCACAAGTATTGAAGGAGAGGCAGCTGAGCCAAAGTCTGATGAAGATGCAAAAGACAATGAGAACGAGTCAGCCACAATTGAAAGTGAATCTACTGAGACGAAAGCTAGTGCTGAGGTGCCTGAGAAACCAAGTAAGTTATCATTGTGCAGTTTGTTATTTTCGAAAATGTTTTTCATATGATTCAAGATTTGTTTGTTAAAGATTTTTTTTGGTTTAATTTGCAAGTCAGGGTTTTCATCAACTTTCAACCATACATCTAGTGCTTTACATATAAAACAAATTAACCACGGACATGTATTAGCAGAGTTACTTATACACTGTAGATGGAAAATGTCAACTTGTTCATGCATGTGCATGTATAGCAGTCAAACTTCCTGCAGTAGCATTGTCTTCAATACTGATTTTAAGCTGGGGAATCCCCATTGTCATGTACGGGTGTAGGATATGTCGCAAGAACCCTCACATAAGATGCATACAAAGTGACAGATGTGACATACACATGTATATAGCACGTTGCTGTCTGGGTTGTTTTCACATAGTTCAGAGTTTGAATCAAGGGCACTTTGAAAAGGATGGGGATTATGACTATGCGTTTATAGTATGTAGTGTTATCCGTGTCTTCATTGACATTGCAAGTTGCAAATCTTCTGTAGATATTCTTTCTAAATTGTTTACAGCACAAGCTCTGCATTTATATATGGCACTTAACTTTGGAAAAGAAAAGAAAAGAAAAGAAGGGAGTTATACATTATCAGTAACTGTAAGCCAGTCACTCAGTGTTATTTAGGGTACGTGTATGCTCGCTCACTCCCTTTAAAAGCACCCCCCCCCCCCCCTATCTCAGGACTGCCAACATTTCTGAACCCCCCTTTCGTGGGCTTTTCCTGCCTTTAAAAATTCCTGTTTCGCAACAATTGATTTTAAACTGTGTTCTAGGCCTGAGTCGTTACGGTCCGTCACACCGGATCCCGACCGTCGCCGTCGGGTCCCGGTTTCTTTTTTTGGAAACCGACGCTCCGAAAAAAGAAAAAAATACCTAAGAAATTGCAGTTTTGCACACCACTAACATTAATCCACCTTAAAACAGAAAGGATGCGCTGTGCACTTCATTAGCTGTAATGGTGCCAAAACGAACCCAACAGATGTACGTAATCGTAACAAGAAAAAAATCACTAAAAACTACGAGAGCACAATTGGAAAGACAACTACTCAAATCTACCGCAAGCAGATACATAACTTGGAGGAAGAATACAATAGTTGTCCAAGAAAAGCCACAGAAATAGCAATATTTAAGGAGTTACTATAGTGTACAATTATTATCGGAATGGGCCTGCTACGATGTCCGTGCAGAATTACGTGTTTAAATTGAGCACGTGGCTAGAAACAATATACCGCCTTCTACAGTAAAAGCAGTATAACAATATCTGCAACAGGCCCCTTTCGATAAAAATGTACCAGTTACTCCTCGATTATCACAATTTCTGTGGCATTTCTTGGACGACTGTTGAATTCTTTGTCCAAGTTATGTATCCGATTATGGTAATTTTGAGCAGTAGTTGTCTTTCCAATCGTGCTCTCATAGTTTTCAATGATTTCTTGTTACTATCGCGTATTTCTGTTTGAGTTCGTTTTGGCACGCATTACAGTTAACGAGGTGCACTGCGCATTTTTTCTGTGACTAGTCTGAACTTGCCTTGCAACAGCTATCAGTATTGAAACTTGTTGTGATTACCAAGTAATTTTTCACTTTAAAAAAAAAGCATGCAGTGTTTCAAATAAGATATAAATATTTAATTTGTTTTTAAAAAATTAATCGATCGGTATGTTGTAAAGAAGAATTTTTTAGAAAGCTGTTTTATAATTCTAATATTCATATTTTTTTACCCAATTTATTCAACCTTCATGAATCAAAATGGCGGCCTGAATGTTGTCTTTCTATTTTTGCCCCAGTTTTTACAACTTTTAAAGGCATGATGATGGCACTAAACATCGCAAAACATGGATGAAAATAATGTAAAATGGGAGAATATACCGATCTGAGCCGAGGTATGCATGTGTTGATTTATTTGATTGATAAAAAGGTCACTTTTAAGGGACATACTGATGATATGCCCTTTTCATAGAGGCAAGTGACAAACCCTGCGAGCTAATTTCGGGACACCGGGTCCCGATCGGTGCGAGGCCGTCGGGACCCGGTTTATAAAAGTCCCGACATGACTCGGGCCTACTGTGTTCTATCCATATATGTTCCAAATATTTAGTAAACATATTTCTTGACCCAAAGAAAGTTTTCTCCAAAAATATGACTCAATTTTTTTTAGAGTAAATCTAAAAGAAAATATAATTTTTCTTTTTACCATTATCTTCTGCTAGAAATCCAGATTGCAGCAAACTTAAACTCAGGATCTCCCACGACGATGAGTCCGACTACCATTAGCCCAGACATCCCCCTTCTCCCTTCTCCGATGAAGGTACCCGGCGCTGGTATCCTGGGGCCAGCTCCAAATGCCCCTCTTCTGCCTAGGGGTCCTCCTTCCATGTTTCCCAAGGCCCTCCCCATCTCCATCCCGCCACCCCCAATGGACTTTCGGCTACCCCCGCCAAAAGTTGTGCCAAAGACAAAAGAGGAGCTGCTGCAGATGCTGACTGAGCAGGTTGGGATCATCCAGCCACCCGATGAGAAAGGGTCCACGGATCAGGGGCGAGGAAAGACAGCCTCATCAGGTAAGAAAGGGAAAGAAGCTTGCTATACTACCTTATTATAATCCTCCTCCTCCCCCCCCCTCCTCCTCCTCCTCCCCCCCCCCCCCCCCTCCTCCTCCCCCCCCCCCCCCCTCCTCCTCCCCCCCCCCCCCCCTCCTCCTCCTCCCCCCCCTCCTCCTCCTCCCCCCCCTCCTCCTCCTCCCCCCTCCTCCTCCTCCCCCCTCCTCCTCCTCCTCTTCCTCCTCTTCCTCCTCTTCCTCCTCTTCCTCCTCCTCTTCCTCTTCCTTCTCCTCCTTCTCCTCCTCCTCCTCCTCCTCCTCCTCCTCCTCCTCCTCATCATCATCATCATCATCATCTTCAACATTATCATCATCTTGATCATTATTATCATAATCATCATCATCATCATAATCATAATGATATTCAGTATTTTTACTGGGCCAACTCCACATGAATAATATGCTCAAGACGTGAAAGAGCAGTAGAAAAATTGAAAAAACAAGGGATTAAGCATACAAACATTTATGGTCACAGAGGACTTTCGGCTGCTCCCGCCAAAATTTGTGCTAAGGACAGAAGAAGAGCTGCTGCAGATTCTGACTGAGCAGTTAGGAATTATCCAGCCACCTGATCAGAAAGGGTCCACAGATCAGGGGCGAGGAAAGACAGCCTCATCAGGTAAGAAAGGGAAAGAATCCTGCTGTGCTATGTAATGATAATCATCATCATTCTCCTCCTCCTCCTCCTCCTCCTCCTCATCAACATCGCCACTATCGTTAACATTATCATCATCCTCATCATCGTTATCATCATCATCTTTATCATTATCATAATCATCATCATTATAATCATAATGATATTCAGTATTGTTACTGGGCCAACTCCACATGAATAATCTCCCACATGAGCAGTAGAAACATGAACAAACAAGGGATTGAGCATACAAACGGCAACTGCACATGCAAATATCAATTCAACTGTGTCCAAAAAAAGGAACAATGTGAGGTGTGATGGGTAGGTCGTAGAGCACATGAAGTCTTTCATAGACCAAAGACTTCATGCATAGCTGATTGTCAACGAAACGAGTTGAGTCTTTTGTCAATTCTGCATGTTGCTACGGCAAGCAGCCAGTGAAAACAAATTGGTTTGATAAAATTACGGAAATGCAAGCACTACTTTAAACAAACAGAACTTTGTCATTCCTTGCTCATTTTTCCTGATTGAGGTGTCATATAAAAGGGCAGAAACTCAACTTTCTGAAATTGTGCGTTTCTCTTTGAAATTAAGATACCGATCAGATTCAGATCATTTTAATCACTCATGCATGAAATATGCATTATATGAGTTGCATCAAATGAAAGAGGAGGATCTAAGCTTTCCAAATATGTGTCATGTATTGATTATAAATGTGACTAAGTTATGATAAAAGATTGATAATTCTTGGTTTCTTTTTTTCTGGGACACACTGTATATTTCATTGCTGTTAATGTGTTTTTCTAAAAGAGGTCTGTACTTTCCATTATCTGTTTCTGCCATGACACTTTCAGATGATCAAAACCCCAAGCAACAACCAAAGAAACAACAGTATCCTCAGAGACAACAACAGCAGCAGCAGCAACAGCAGCCAGGCCAACAATGGCAGAACTCTGGTAGAGATAACAACTGGAGACAGAAGACCGATCCTAATATGAGGATGCCACAACAAGGCATGCCAAACGTGCAGAACAGGTAGGTCACACATTTTGGATAGAAAACAATAAGCTTCAAATCTCTTTTGATCTAGAATGTAAAAATATGAAACATTTTTAACTAAGTTCATATTTTTATGGAGTGCCAAGTGACGACCTCTCTGTTGTGTACAAATTTATGTAATTATGAATGTTAAAACGCTCATTTAATAATTAATCGTTTAGTAATGAAGAACAAAAAGAAAAGTGTAACTTGATACATCATTTATATGTATAGGCGACAGATATATTGACACTGGGAACTATATTTGTACACTTAAATGTATATCCAACTTTCCAGGTACATGAATTCTGAGTACAAAACAAAAATTCTACAAGTCACAAAAGGTCTTCATAATTTTTAACTTAAGGTATGACTTTCACAAACCTGCTTTCATTTAACCGTTTAGTAGCAGTTATGACTTCTTCACAAAATGTTCTGTAATAGGGAGTCTCAAAGCTCCCCCCCCCCCTCCCCCTTCTCATTGCAGTACATGTAAACGTTAATTCTATCCTATCTTTTGAAAAAGTATATTTTCAGTCATATTCTGAGACTGTGGTTAAAATAGCTTTCACATCACTTAACAAAATTAGTACAGTGTTAGAATGAATATAACTTTCTTCATTATTTTCCTATTTATGACTTGTCTTTATGATTACAGACAACCTAATACTACAGGAAAGAAACCCAGCCCACAAGGTGGAACAAAGTCAGGCTTTTCTAACCTAACCAAAGATGAGCTGGAGAAAGAGTACCAGTGGCAAAAGTTCAGTGTGGAGAGGAAAATAAAAAAGGTAGGAATTCTGCTCCTGGGGTTTGTCAGGCCCCTTCTTTTGCGACATTGCAATGATCAGATATTGTGTGAGATGGAATGCTGATACAGGTGAAATATGATATTGTACATTGGAACTTTTTGTAGGAGGTCATTAAGGCAATACTGAACTGATGAATGATGTGCTTTAGCATTCTGTTTATTGCACAGCGCCATCTCATGGTCAAATTGCCAACAGTGCATCATCCAATACCTAAGTTCCACTGCGCAGACAGAGGACTAAATGCAAGAACCCGTAGCACAGCTGGGAAGCAGATGACCTGAAATGATGCTAACCGGGAATTTCGCGGATGAGAAACCTAAAAGGCAGTTGTAAAACAGGTTTAATGCAACAAAACGTGAAATACGCAGCAGAACGTTTCAGGCAATCCGTAGCCGCCAGGAACATAATGTCAACTTAGCATTAGAGTGGTGGCTGATCACTGACATATATACTTGAATATTAATGCAATGTTTTTTCATTTTTCAATTCCAGATTCTGAAATCGATGAAGACAAGTTCTGATGAGGAGGTTATAAAGGAACTGCTTACCATCATTAAATATAGTGAGTTCTTTTGTAATTTGTGCTTGTTGGCACATTTGTTAGATGTTCGCTGCCACAATTTGTATTATGGATGCAAAGCGCAGTGCTAAAGTTTAATTGTACTTATCCATTTTCAGCCTCATTAACTTAATAATAGTATGAGATATGGAGGTATCGTGGTCTAGTGAATCGTATGGTTCGCGGTTGAGTCCCACCTTGGCAGTTATCAGTGTCCTTTGGCAAGACATTAATCTACATTTTCTCTCCCCCCCCCCCCCCCCCCACAAGGTGAGGTAAATGGATACCTGGCTGGAATTAATTCCTTGAAATACGATAATGGCAGCCATACTAAAGCCAGGAAAAAATTGTGAAGCACCAGGAGCTTCAAGTTTGATAGACTTGGGCACTATGCAAGAACCCACTATTATCATTATTAAAATTTGATTTGATTAGGCTTGAATGGGAAATGGTTTAGCTAAATCTAAAATGAAGTCAAAAAAAAAGTTGTTTTATGTGTGTGGCACAGAAATAATTAAGAATGAAAACGACTAAACCGAATTTGAAAATTTGGGATGCTGTTGTGATTAAAAGTGGTGGGTGAGAGGGCTTGTTACTTAAAAATGCAGTTGAAAAGAGGGGTTTTCCCCCTTTTTTTGTAGTTGTGTGTTTTAATTGAATCAATACAGAATCACATTGTTTACAAATAATGTGAGTGTCTTTTAAAAATCAAAAGTAACACAATACATAAAATAAGATAAATAAATATCAGAACGTCAATGGTAACATGGTAATTTAAGATAAATATACCAGGAATCCAGGGAGCCCAGTTGACAAGAGTTTCATTTTGCTGTTTTGCTTCAGATCCGTCCAAACTGGCCAACTTTCCGTGGCCCAAGGAACAGTATGTTGTCTTGGAGAAGCTAATAGAACATGCCATTTTGAACGTAGACAATGAGGAATCACTTCAGAAGAGGGTTGCTACAATCATCAATTCATTGCAAGGTAAGAAATATTACATTAATAATGGGAGATATACTAAGATAGAGAAAACCTGAAAGACGGGGGCATGTAGCAATTTTTTTGAAAAGTTGGGGGAAAATGGCAAAATTTGATTGAAAAACAAAGATTTTAAACTTCTCAACGTTTTGTAAATGTAAGGATTTCAAAAGCTAATTTTTGTATTTGAAATTCCTGGGGTCAAATACAATGTGGTCATGCAACAAAAGTGGACAGAATATGGGCAGAACTTTGTGCCTTTTCTTTTCATGCATCTGGTATATATTATTGGGGCGGGGGGGGGGGGGGGGGGGGGGGGGGGGGGGGGGGGGGGGGGGGGGGGGGAATATAAAATTACTGAGCCACACTACAGAAAATGGAATGCTTGTCCCAATGGTTGAAAAGATCATTGTCTGCTGTAAGAGACAAGGTTGAATTCTGGTTAATGTGAAGAAAAAAATTGTGACTTTTGTCATTATGTCAGTTTGGAAGAATTCGTGTGACTATTGCTCAAATTTGTCTTTAGTTCTTCAGTGATAAAGGTATAAAAAGGTAACGATGTGATATCCCTTCTTTGTAGATATGCATCCACAAGGATTCAAGGAAGATCTGAAGAATGCCATACTGCATGAGCAAGGAGAGTATATTCAGGTAAGTGTAAGGGACTTGTATGTCAGATTAGATTGGAAAGCATGTTTTTACATTGCATTTTATTCTTATTTTAGTGCCTTGCTGCCAGTTCACAATTCGAATTCAATACAACTACATAATTTACTAAGTGCCTGGTTTCTTTATTTTTCCCTTTCCTGTTTATCTTTTCCTTATTTTTTTTTTCTTCTTCTTTTGCATGGAGGCATGTTTGGGGGGATGGTCAGCCTTTTGGGCTTATTTTCTCTATCTTGTCTAACTGTCAATAGATAGTATTCATTCTTCTTGTAAGTTGTAAATTGCAGGCCATACGTGGGACAACATGTGCATTTGACCCGTTTTTTTTTAGGTGAAAAATGTATAATTAAAACATTGTCCTTTTAAATTGTGAACACCATATTGTATGGAGACAGTTTGGACGATAATAACAGTATTTACACTGAAATTAGGTCAAATAATGCTCTATCTTGTATTGTTATCTGTTGTATTGCTTTATTGTTTCATCATTTTACCTTATTTTGTACTCTTGATGGATTTATACCGTTATTCTGTCATGAATATATTCTGTTTTGTATATTTTATTGAAATTTAATAAAAATTTAATGGAATTAAATTGAATTCATGTATTTACAGATTGACGTTATGTTTCTTTTACAATATTACATTCCATTGAGATATTTTATATTTGTTTTTGTATGCATGTCACTGCAAGTATTTGATATCCGTATATCTTATTTTCTTGAACCATTGTAGGGAAGTAGCAGTGAGTTTAGGAGAAATCAAGCTAGGTCTGCAGGTCATTTCTTAGGGGAGCTCTACAACCTCTCCAGGGCGTCAAGCACAGAGTTCAAAGCCTCTGTCCAGTCTGTAGTAGCCCTCACCCTCAAAGATTGGATCAAGGCCCCAAATGTGGTACGAAAATAAACATTTTTTTAACTAGTCTTATACTAGTTATGACACAGTTAAGGCACATTAATTCAAAATTTCTTTCGCTGATTAATTAACTCTGTTCACTTTGATGTGTATTCCATATGTATTTTAATTTGTAGGTTTATTTGCACTTGTTTTGTTTAATATGTAATTGTTTATCAGTCTATTTTGTTTGTTATAGCGCCTAGAGACTTCAGTCGTAAGCGCTTTATAAGTAACGTTTTTATGCCTCCGTTACGAAGTAGCCGGAGGCATTATGTTTTCGGGTTGTCCGTCCGTCCGTACGTCCGTCCGTACGTCCCGTTCTCGTGATCGCGTTATCTGAAGAACCAATTGATGGATTCCTGCCAAACTTTGGTCATGTATGTTACTTGCAGAGCCGATGAACTGATTAGATTTTGGGGTCACGAGGTCAAAGGTCACAGGGCTCATTATGTATGCAAAAACAGCTCGTGATCGCGTTATCTGAAGAACCGATTGATGGATTCCTGCCAAACTTTGGTCTTGTATGTATCTTGCAGAGCCAATGAACTGATTAGATTTTGGGGTCACAAGGTCAAAGGTCACAGGTCACAGGGCTCATTAGGTATGCAAAAAGAGCTCGTGATCGCATTATCTCAAGAACCGATCGATGGATTCCTGCCAAACTTTGGTCATGTATGTATCTTGCAGAGCCGATGAACTGAATAGATTTTGGGGTCACGAGGTCAAAGGTCAAAGGTCACAGGGCTCATTATGTATGCAAAAATAGCTTGTGATCGCATTCTCATTAGAACAGATTGATGGATTCCTGCCAAATTTCGATCATGTATGTATCTTGCAGAGCCAATGAACTGAGTAGATTCATGGGTCATGAGGTCAAAGGTCATGGGCTCATTATGTATCCAAAAATAACTTGTGAACGCATTCTCATTAGAACTGACAGATGGATTACTATTTAACTCAGGACATCTTGCAGAGCCAATGAACTGAGTAGATTTTAGGGTCATCAGGTCAAAGATCAAAGGGTCATATATGTATATGAGAAATTGCTTGTAATCACGATATTCTGAGAACCTCTTAATGGATTACAATTGAACTTGAATTTGAAAAATTTCTTCTGTTTTGGTTTGTAAAATTGCTCTATGACGGAGGCATCATTTTCGACTGCGCGCAGTCGAAGTTCCATCTAGTTATTATTATTATAATGATGTCGGGTAGACACCTCTTTTGTACTTCAGTGCATGCTCCAGTGACAGTCTCTGTGGTCTCTTTCCTAAACCTTTCAAGGGCACAATTCAATCTTGAACCAAACACTATGCCTAACCCTAACCCTAAACCTAACCTATGATAATATATAATAATAAATTATATTTCTATAGCGCATTATACAAGGTATGTCTCTATGCGCTTTACATTGTATTACAAGCTTAATTAATTACATGCATCTATTATTGAACTATCCTAAAACAAAAATTCTGACAAAATCTTAACTAAAATAATTTAACAGTAACTAGATAGATAAACATTATAATTCATTCTTAAATAATGATACAACAATTATGGTTCAAGATTTTATTCATATATTACAAGTTGTAGGCATATACAATTTCAATTGAAATTATAGATAGCAAAGCATGATAATAATTTATTCTTAAAAAGGTAGGTCTTAAGTGCAGTCTTGATAACCCAAACCCTGTTCTTATTTCTTTGATGAAATAAAGCCTATAGCAAATGTAGGGGTTTCTCAAAGATTACAAAGTATTGAAAAGAATAGATGGGCTAAAAAGTTTAATAATAATAGATATGGTGGGTTCTTGTATAGCGCTCATGTCGCTCTAGCATTACAAGGAATTCATTTCTGCCAGGTACCCATTTACCTCACCTAATGTCTTGCCAAAGGACATGGACCCAAAACTATGTGATCCACAGATTGGAGACATAGCCACCAGACCACCGACACCTCCACTCTTAAAGGGACTTGGTAACATTGTTCAGATGAGAGAAAATGGTGCTAACAAAGTGACTTCAATGTTAGATGTACAATTAAAGATAATCTGAAAGTTTGAGTGAAAACAGACCATTATTAATGATAAAAATTGGGAAAAAATTATCTGATCGATCCCTGAATTCTCCAAACGATATTATCACAATTTAATTACATTTTAGGTGAATGTCAATCATCACAAAGCAATGAATTGGCTCTATATACCATTCCAGACATTTAAGTGTTAAAACATTTTTTAAAGCCTGTCTCATGTCTTATTTTCTTTGAAAAATGGTCGGTAAAACTCAAAAATGGTTGGGAAAATTTAATTTTAGAGGTAGTCACACAGTGACGCCTTCAAAGAAAATCATAAATATCTTTGTGGTTTGAGAATTTTTTCAGTATGTTTTGCATGTTAGAAGATCAGTACAGTAGAAGGAATATAATAGGTAACATTTCATACAAAACCTACGCAGTTTTTTCATCATTGCTCAACAATGTTATCGAGTCACTTTTAAAGAGAAGGTTGAGTTCTGGGAAGAGGTGAAAAATAATTGTGAGCATTACTCATTCTTATTATGCAAGTGTGGAAGAACATCAGTGAAGACATGTTCCCTGAAAAGCATGGCTCTTCAAATGCCTTCATATTCTAAATATGCATGTAACATCGTAAAAATCGGGGGCCGGTTTTTTACGCCACGTGTTCATGTAGTCCCATATACATCTTTCTGTGCAAGTGTTTGTAACTTTACCAAGACTTGGCCAAATTTCTTATCATTTTGATGATTCCAGAACCTTGCAATACACACAAATTCTTATATGCTAGATAATCAACCTTTTCTGGTCGGTTCCACACCGTTTCTTTCACAATGCAATCGCATGACCAGAACTCAACTTCATCTTTAATAATGTTTGAAAGCATTTTTCCATGTTTGTTCAATTACAGGCGGCCATCAGTGAAGATAGCAAACTTCTTCTGGAGGTATACGCTCAGTGCTTAGAGGAGTTTTTGGTCCTGAACCTGAGGGATAATGATGAGCATCTCAAGAAACAGGTCGTAACGTTGCTGAAAGAAGAGATTCTCAGCACTACAAGACCAATGTAAGTCAAGGGCCCTGTAATACAAAGCTTAGCAATCATTCCTACAATTGATTGATTGTACAATTGATTCATTGATAGCACGATTGATTCATTGTTCAATTGATTGATTGTACAATTGATTGATTGCACGATTGATTGATTGATTGATAGTAAAAATGATTGATTGATTGCACAATTGATTGATTGATAGTAAACTTGATTGTAAAATTGACTACCATGCCTACCTTACATAAAAGTTCCCATCTAAAAAGTGATAACCAACGGCTAAAAGTAATATTCTATGGCTGAGATGCCCTTATGCATATCTCCGGCGTGTACAAAATAGAAGGAGCAATGAAATGCATGCAGTTTCAAATAGCAAGGACATCGATTCGAGCACTGAGACGTGCATTATGCTGTTTGGCTGCGCTTATATACTGTGTCCTTTAATGCAAATGATGTCTCCCATGACTGCAATTCTTGGAATTTTGAACCATTTATTTTGTTTATTTATCGAATCTATATATGTATATTGTAGACCTGTTTATAAAACAAATGATTCATGTTTTGAAGCTCTTGCACTCGTTGAAGTAAAAATGAGCCGGATTATGAACTAAACCCTTACTGTACTGGGGGGGGGGGGGGCCTGGGAGGCCCCCCCCCCCCTCGACATTTTCGGAGATTGCGCCGCATCCGCTCGGAATTTTGAATTGTCGTTTCATGACTTTTTTCCCTCAAGTCTTACGCACATTTTGATACCATTTTCGTCGAAATCGGATATACCTGTAAGGTGTTACATAACAATAGTATGCGCATGTCATCAAAAAAGTGGTATAATTGCATGTATTCATGTACAAGCAGAAATGTGAAGCTATGAAATGATATCAAATTGCTTTTTTATGTTTCTCAAAATAACTTGATGTATTTTAGAACAAAAGAATACATTATAAATAAAACAATAGATATAATAAGAAATAAAAAACAATAAAATACATAAGAAAATAAATAGTTGAAAATCGCATCAAATTTGCATAAATTATCATTATTAATTACTTCAAATAACTTTTTTGTGTAAGAAAAGAAGTTTCATATGGATAATGAGTAACAACATTCAAAAAGTGGAGTCTGACAATTTTTGTAAGGATTCTAGTTCCCTCTATATATTTCCAGATTTGATATTCATGGATGCGTATTCATAATTTATGCAAATTAACCTATGCATTTTCAAATATCATAAAAAAAATGAAACCTCATGAATTTGAGATGAAGGAAACATTTATTCAATACATTTTCATCATTCTTCACAAGTCTATGGACAAATATGTAGAGTTTTCTGTAAAATGCATAAAATTAGCATTTTGCATAATTAATTAGGCTATAACGACAAAAATTTGCATATTAGCAAAAAACTAATTATACCATCTTGTTCCTTACGTAAATATCTACAAACATGCAAATTTTCGCGTTCATCGGACATTCGACGGCAGAGATCATAGGGGGGGGGGGCCTCCCAGGCCCCCCCCCCAGTCAGAGAGTGCTCGAAATAGCCCAGTACAGTAAGGGTTAACAAGTTTCATTTAATATCCGATTGTGACTTTACTTGCATTGAGTCCATATTCACTAATAGTTGCTCAAACACAAATAGATTTATGGATTTGGCTTGATGTGAAACCTCTCTTCTTGACTATTGCAGTGAAGCCAAGACTCTCCTGCTTGATACACTGTTCAAGCTTGCCTGCCATAGTTGTACTTCAAGGGTACCAGCTGAAGCTCAGAAGAATCAACAGGGCCTAGACAATAGAGAAACCAAGATATGTAAGTATAGAAATGGGTTTTCAGTATGAACTTTCCTATGGATTTAAGCTATTTTAAATAGATGGTTTCTGTAATATGCCACCTATGTGCATGAGCAGAAAAAGGTCATCTGTACAGCAAAAACCAAAATTTAAAAAAAAATTGAGGCTAATGCTGGATACATGTTCATGAAAGTTATGCACTCATTATTTGTTTATGCACTGATGGTACAATCTATGGAACACAGGCAGAAGTAACCTTCTCAAGAGGGCAAACAAAAGGTATTCATTCAAAAGCACATCCATGACTTTGACAGTGACTATATTTAGAATGCACAAAGGGGGACTCTCCATGTTTGAAAGATCTATGGATATTTGGGGTATCTTGTGTAGTATCTTGAAGGGGGTCTATTGTGATACATGTGTCAGGATAGCAATTATGGAAGACTTGCTTATGATTTGTTATCACATCCAATAATATGTTTGTTGAAAATGTCATTGCTTTTTAAAGATCAAGATGGTTAGGCGGTCTTCTATTCTTGCATGTAAATACAAATCTAAACAAAACTATCAATGTTTTTAACAGTATGTTTCTAGTCCTATTGTCAAATCTATGGCCTCACCTGTAGGGCACCTTAAAGGTCTTTCCAAATTGTATATAATGCTCATCTTTTTATAGCTTCGATTTTTGCGAATCAAATTCCTTGTTATTGGCCAATGAAGAGTTTGACTTAATCAGTGCATAACTTTAAAAGAGAATTTGAGTAGTGCAAAGGTTCTAAATTACACATTCTCATGTTACAAATAATAGGGAAATAACTTTGGGAATTGTATATGAGCAGTATTTAGCCGTGTCCAGAGTGAAAGTGCCTGTGTAATACATTGCTATGTTTTGTCTTCTTGTTTCAGATTCTGGTTCATCAGAGCCCTCTCCTGGTAAAACAATGTCTTATAATCCTCAACAACCAAAGACACAACCTATAACCCCACAGAAACCAAACAATCAACACGATGTTAAACAGTCTCCACAGCAGCATCAACAAAGGAAACAGCAGCAACATCCACCATTGTCAGGGTCAAAGTTCACGTCTCCCCCGCCGTCAGGGTTGTCACAGGTTCAAGGGAGGTTCCAACCTGGGCAACATCCGATGAACTTCCCGCAGGGCGGTCCTGTAAACATGAGTACCCCACCTCCGAACATGAATGCTCCACCTCCAACCATGAGTCAATCAGGACATAATATACCTCGGTGGCCAGCTGCATCTCAGGGTCCTCCTCCAATGCCAAGCTCGATTCCAGCTGCATCCACGAGTACGGGAGTGGTTCTTCTGAATCAATTGCAGCAGCAGATACAACAGCAGCAGCAACTAGGGTATATGAACCAGAGTATACCTGCATCGATGCAGACACCTCAGGGACCTGTTCCTATCCCTCAGGCTCAGATTCCCCAAGGTGGGAGCCAGAGACATTCACATGGTCTTGGTGCTTCTATCCAGATGCTTCAGCAAGGTGCATTTCCAGACCCCCAAGGTATGCCTTCTCAACAAGTTCTAGGGAACATGGTTCCTCAAGCACCTAGTATTCCTCCATCACAAGCCTCCGGTATGTCCTCTATGATGCAATCTAATAGCCAAACAAATCCTCATATAATGTCAGGTGTGCCTGGACAGCAGATGATGCAGTCTGGTAATGTCCAAATGATGCAGTACAGCTCAGCCGGAACCACTCCAGGACACCCTGTCCAAAGTTCTTCTCAATTCCTTCGCAACCTACCAATGTCTGTAGCACCGCAGATGAGTACCTCTATGAACTATCAGCAGCAGGAAGATTTTGCCAACCAAATGGGACAAATGATGTTATCGGGTTCTGATCCCTGGCATCAATCAGGGGTAGGGGTTACCCAGGCTGTAACAGCACCCATTTTTTCAACAGCTCAAGGCGTGAACCCTTCTGGACACAGGCAAGAGATGCTGTCTGCTCCACCAGGCAACCCTGAGGTACAGTCATCCCAAGAAGATATGTCAGGTCAGCCGTCTTTCGCCCAATCTGCAGCGAGTGGAAGATTTGTCCAGAATAGAATACCTGAAGCAGCACCTAAGCAAAGTTTCCAAAACAGCGATGATGCAATGCATGGTGTTAGCCAGTGGGGTGTGTCTCCTCAAGGTTCTGCCTGGCCTGACAAACTTCCAGACTCCAACCAATTACCCACCACGTCTCCTCCATCCTTTACCTCGCAAAATCAGAACCCTAATCAGTGGTCTGCTGATGGTCGCAACGTAAAGTCACCGGAAGCAGTGAGTGACACACCTTCTCAAGAGCCTTCAGCTTCAGGGTGGGGAGATGCTAACCAAGGACCGCAAGAATCATCCCAGCAAAGGTTAGGAACGGATGGATGGGGATCTTCTAATCCAAGTCCAGGTGTGGGTAACTGGGGTGCAGAACCTCAGCCAACCGATAGTTGGAACGGCCATGCAACATCCTTTCCTGGACATCAGACAGGTGCAGTGCAACACAGTTCTGCAGAGCATCCAGACATGGGTCCTCGAGGGTTCCCGAATCAACCAAGGATGCCAAATCAGGTTTCGGCTCAAGCAAATGCTTTAAAGGCTCCCCCAAAAGACAAATATGTATTTGAAGAGAGTGCTAGTTCTGTAAGTGGATACCAGAGGCCAAATGCGTACACTCTCCCTTCAAAGCACAAAGAAGGTTCTCCTGCAGCAGAGGGCGTGTCGTACAATGCCATGTCAGAACTTGGAAGCTACGGTATCGGTCCTAGCAACAGCTACGACAGCTCCTCATACGGAGGTGCATACACGGCCATCAGGGATGGAGGAGGCTACGGAGATTCTTTTCCGCCAGAAGGTCAGAAAGTGGGAAACTTTGTCTTGCTACCTGAGAACACTCCGCCCCAGAACTCTGCCTCCCCTGACCACTTTGAAATCAGTGCCATTCGAGATTGCTTCATGGATGAGGAGGAGATCTCAAGTTACGAAATGAACGCTTATCAGAATCAGATGAGGTTTCGGCAGCAGCATGGCCAGCCTAACTGGTCGCAGTTTGAGACGCAGAAGGAGAAGCATGTCCCCAGTGCCTTACATGGAAGGTCCCCGAGGGATAACAGCCAAAGAGGTCATGGGAGGGGAAGCCTCCTTGTAACCAATCCCTGTACAGCCATGCCTCCGTTCCCTCCTGCCCATCCCCCAGGCAGCAGGCAACCACCTATCAAGCAGAAATACCAACCAAGGAACTAACTCTGCAGTTACTCTCCAAAAACATTTTTAGTTAGTGTTCTTTTGCAGCTGCCTGACTCCTCCTTGCTATACCAATATTCTGTTCCTCTATTATTTGTAAGTATCATGTGCTCTTCAGAAAAGGTGTTCAAATAGTGAGGAGAATGGAGCATGATCTGTAACTGTCGTTTCCATGGAGAAAATGTGTGCCTTTGTGGATGACAATATGTGACCATAGGAGCTAAATGCGTCATTGTGTATTGGATGCTTTAAACTCAGAGAAAAAAATCATCAAAATGTTTACGTTGAGTGAATGCAGTAAGTAGTTCATCATTAGAGATGAAATTTAGGTACATGATTTTAAGAATGATATAAAACTCTCTGTATAATATTTGGTGGACCAGAAGTTAAAATTAATGTCAGCCAAGTCTAACCTGATGTCGAAAAGGGTAACAATTGCATATTTCTTCATCAAACTATGATTTGCCTTTTTTTCCCCTTCTTTTTGTGTGTGTGTGATGCACTTGCTATAGTTTTGTAGGGTGTAGTAGTAGTAGTAATAGGAGTTGCCTAGCAAAGGAAATTTGAATATGTTAGGCTGTAAAAAAAAAAATTGCCAAATATGTACTCTATCACATCATATTAAATACATGTAGTGAAAAATGCCAATGTGAGCTGCATAGAACTTTCATATTCATAGTCAGCACATGGTCACATGCAGTTTGACCTTCCTAACCAAATTGGATGTTGATGTACCCATGATGACATCATTGAAACAGCTATAGGGGTTGCCAATTTAAGCTACTTACACCATCTGTGGTGTCAATTCCTAGCCCAATTGGATATTGGTGTACCCTCGGCATCACAGACAATAATAGGAGTTGCCAATTTGAGCATTTACATTCATCATCCACATGATTATGATTTGACCTTCCTCGCTGAACAAGGAGAAATAAGTGAAGGCCTTAGTTCACTGGGGAAAGTTTTGATTTATTTATCTTGCTATTTAGGGCTTATCGTTGAACAAATAAACTTGGTGCTGACGGAAATATGCCTCATGCTGTTCAGGGATATTTGATTACGCAGGGATAATTAGCTGCTGTCAACTAGTGCTAGAGAAAGCTTGAAACTCAATTCTGTAAGGGTGATGTTGCAAACCATTTGGAAAGTTCTTATTGGTGTAGAAAGTACAAATCTCAGGTATTCAAGATAATAGATTTTTGAAAGAAGGCAGTCTCACGAAGAGATGAGTGACGTGTTGACGCAAGATGCAGCTATCCGAATCAGTGATACTGAAGGTTGATAAAGAATGATCAAGGAAGTTAACAATCCAACTTTCAATTCCTTTCCAAGTTCCATAAATTGCTGTACAGGGTTAGATCTTTGTTTCCTGAATTCCCAGGCTTTCGGTAATGGTAATTAGGTCGCTATTGTCATCAATGCTTCAGTTGCCAGTGCTAAGAACTGTGCTGCTACCAAAGGGATTATAGGAAGGAGAAATGAATCGGAGAGAGGTGATATCCATTTCAGGTTTGCTTTAAAAGTGGTTTGGATATCCAGAGATTATGGGTGTGATGTTTCTCCAAAGAGTGGTCAGAATGGAAATAGCTAGATTAGCTACCTGATTAGTGGAAAAGATTCGGTGTAGTCAGCTGGTAAGCCGGGGGAAACTGTATGAAGGTGTTTGTGTGCCTAGTTGAGGTACAGGAAAATTGATGAAAGTTTCCTGTCTGAAGACAGTATCAGGTCATTGCTGTAGCCTGAGTGAGAAGTTTTTGAGGTCTTGCAGTTTATCTTTCGTTTGATTTGAGTTCTGTTCATCCACATTCCAGGGAAAAATTCTCATAATATATTACTACAATGACAGCTGTAATGCTTTTTCACATCGACCCAGTGATCCATTACAGAATTCCAATAACTTGATCGATGTATTTTCAAAGATTTTCTAAAATTGAGAATATATCTTCCATTCCTAACAAAGAGTCCTGATTACAGATACATACAACATGAACACTTCCTCCATGGTGACTATCCTCTGTGTGATGTTTACCTTTCTCTTCAAACATGCATAGATCCATTGCAAATTCCCAGGTTCCTTAGGTAGGATTGAATCTATGGGTTACAAGACAAGATGTTTTGAGGCGAAAGATGCCGAGTGGTCTGTCCGCTGTTTTTGAAAGAGAAAACTCCATGACTGACCTTGATTTCCTCTCATTGACATCCATGATAAATGTGATGATCATTAGCACAATATTTCCATACTAGTAATTAGATGGTATCCCCGGATGATGACCCATATACCTTGAATCGCATACAAGCACTCCGCAAGAATGATTGATACGTTGTTGATTGCCATGGCTCGTGCAGCTAACGAGGAGGATGGCCTTGTATGCACTAATGGCTTGGAATGACGAGAGTTGGTGGGTTATACCAGGTACTTTAATTGTACTGTAATGTCAAATGGTTAATGATCGTTGAATGTTGTTCACATAGAGAACTTCATGGCTGTAGATGGAGGGTAAAATGTCTGTGTAGAGGTGATGATGCATAATTTGAAAAGTGTTCACTTAGATTTGAGAATTGTTTGGAGTGCAGCTCAAATTCTTTGTAAGATCAAACCCATTTTGACCTCACCATCAACATGTCTTGCTAGGCTAGTATACTTTCTGTGGCATTACCTCTGTGATGAAGCTCTTGCCATGATGGTTAATTCATAGAAAGGAGGTCATCTCCTAGTGCACTGGGGTGATATTCCTCCTTGTTCGTGATGCATGAAGGGTGATTTTGATTGCCTTTCAGTCAACAAGGGTGAAGCGTGTCTGCAGAAACTTGTGGCCCATTTTCAGTGATGTTCAAGAGGTTTGTTGGGATGTTATCGAGAAGGTTGCTTCTGCTACCCCTCTGCTCCTCCCCAACTTCCACCATACGTCCCATTTTCAGTGATGTTCAAGAGGTTTGTTGAGATGTTATCAAGAGGGGTGCTTCTGCTCTCCCTCCTCTCCTCCACAACTTCCACCATACGTCCCATTTTCATCGATGTTCAAGAGTTTTGTAGGGATATCATCAAGAGGGGTACTTCTGCTCTCCCTCCGCTCCTCCACTACTTCCACTATGTTCAACTAGCACAGCTCTCTTTGCCACCCAAACCCCACTGATGACCTAGGATGTGTGATCTGTAATTGTAGAGGATTCTCAGGATTCTCCTAGTGTTACCTTATGGTCTCTTGCTCTTCCACCAGAGTATGTGGAATGAGTAATGTAGCCTCTGCAGTAAGTCACCATGTGCCATCTTGGGTATCTTTCGTGAGGGTTTGTGTGCCGAGGATATTTGTAGTGCTGTTGCAGTCATGGTGGAAGCTCCCTACTTTAATTTATAAGATGGCAATCGGTTTAAAGCTGTCTATTAGTGGCTGTAAGGAGGAATTGTACTGACTTACATGGAGGGAGGGTCTCATATGGAATTAAGCTGTTACTGTAATCCCTTTCTGATCAGAATGAATATCCAACAGATTAGGCTTTTAAAAGCATGTGGTGTCGTACCATTGGATGGTGGAAGCTCGCTACTTGAATTTAAAAGATGGCAGTATTGTGAAGCTACCCATAAGTGACTGTAAGGCGGAATCGTACTGACTAACATGGAGGGTATAGTATGGAATAAAGCTGTTACTGTAATCCCTCTCTGTGCTGTCAGTGTTGAAGGTCAAACAGATTTTGTCAGGGCCTCGTACTGTATTGGGTGTTTGTGGAAGTTCTCTCCTATGATTTATTACAGAACTTGAAGGAGGGGCAAGTGGGCAGTTTGCCCCTCCAGACAGATTTGTAACCAAGAAAAAGAAATGCAAACACGCTAGTAGTAAGCAGGTTAGAAATCATTGTAAGTCAATCAACGCACAAACTGCACATGTAGACATATTTTCAAGAATCACCATTTCTTCCTCAAATAAGTCATTTTGGGTGATGCCCCCTCCCCCCACCTCCTGCAACACATTCCAGGGCCATCTTTACTAAAAGTTTATGGAGCACAGCAAGTCAATTATGCTTTGCCCCTCCTGTGGCCAAAGCCTGGACACAGCACTGATAAGCTCTCAAGGGTCAGGTCAGGTCAGGTCAGGTCAGGTCATGGAGTTCCCATTAGTTCACTTCTACATACAATCACTATAGGAGGAAACTGTTTTGGTGCTCCATGTTTTTGTCCTATGAACAAGTGCATCTGATCTTCCAGTGATTGAACAGTGCTAGAGCTCCCTCATAGTTCAAGATTATGTAGGAATGATATTTCCTGCTTCACTTTATGAATGGATAGATCGTCTTGGGCTCATGTCAAGATCTTGAGTGCATACATCTTCAGGAAATCCTTCTACTTCATATAATAAGGCTATCTTTTAAAGATGATTTAGATTTCTGGGACATGTCATGATGCAAAAAAAATTTTTTTTTTAAATATAAATCATCCAAATTTGCAATGAATGTTACAAAGCTCACAGGAACGATGCGTAAAAAGTAACTAAGGCTGTGTAATATGCAAATTGATTTGAGAGCATCCCCAGTGATACTGAATTTTTAAAAAAAGACCTTGCACCACACATGAACATTTGTGTTAGACTGACATAACCCCATAATCATTTTGAATTTTAGTTTCTAAATAATCAATTAAATTTTTTTTTAAATAATTTTTTGAATACTGTTTGTGTTTAAATGAAATATAGTTTCATTACTAGAATCAGTGTTACCTTTAAACCTGTGAGTCAATAGCTTTGGCTTAAAGTACCTGTAAACAAACTTGACATTGCCCACACAGTGTCAATGTCTCCTGAGGCACTAGCCCTGGGGTTGCTCAGAAACGCCCCTCCCCAACCCCCGAACGACCTCAATAAATCCCCACCAAACCACCACCACATCCTAGGCCTACCACTTTCCATTATGTTCATTTTCCTGCCTTTCCTAGTGTGGGCGTTCATGTGAATCTTGATTTACGATTAGTGGGAGAGTAAGGTTTCCTTTGGTTATGTTGCTAAATCTTAATGTCAAGGGTCAGAGGTCGAAGGCTACCATGTTGGTAAAGGCATTGAGTCTGAATAATGTGCTATAGCATTCAAAAGATTAACCACATGACCCAGGTCGTATGCTCCCATGTTGGTAAAGGCATTGAGCATGAATAATGTGCCATAGCATTCAAAAGATCAACCACATGACCCATTAACATTTGGGATTGTTGCCTAAATAAAGGAAAGTACCAAAAACCAGTCTGCCTAAAGGAAAGTTGCATAAACCAGTTTGCGTGTGGCTGCGAATGAATGATTGAGGGTACTCGGCTCTCCGCAGGCTTGTGGTCGCATTAAGTGTCGTAAGCACAGAGTGTTATTCGCATCAGATCCTCTTGTGTTTTCCCCTCACTTAGAGTAATTACATTATCATTTTAAGGGGTTATTGATTCGTGTATCATTGTGTTAGCTGTGTTTGTATTGCTCATCTATCACCTTCGGGCGCTGCCAATAATGATGCCTGTCGTCTGTCAGGCGTTAGACTGGTGTTAAAGGGAACCAAAACCTTCATACTAAGTTACTTTTATTGTAGATTCTAAGATATTTGAATAAAATCAGTGAAAATTTGAACAAAATCAGGCAAGGAATGAGTAAGTTAAAGCTTTTTGAAATGACTAGTCACTAGAGGGCGATATTTAACTTGATGCATCATTTGTGGACAAGTCTCCATGCCTTTTGTACTTCAAATTTCATGTTTTTCCTTCTTTCTTGTGATTGAGATAATCTACTCCCCTGAAGGCAAGGTATAGAATGCAAAATGATATTCTACTTCACATGTTATGAAGTCGGATCAAGAACACAAATATATACGAAGAAAACGAAAGAATTGTGAAATTTGAAGTACAAAAAGCATGGAGAGTTGTCCACAAATGACGCATCAAATTGAATATCGCCCTCTAGTGACTAGTCATTTCAAAAAGCTTTAACTTCCTTATTCCTTGCCCTATTTTGTTCAAATTTTCACTGATTTTATTCAAATATCTTAAAATTTACAATAAAAGTAACTTAGTTTAAAGGTTTTGGTTCCCTTTAACTTATACTTATTTGCTCTAATGCATAGTTTATGCCCTTCTGGCACACAAGTATCTGTTTTTATTCTTTGCCAACTGACTTGCAGCTGAATTATCTATCCATAAGTAGATGTAGTATGTATCTTATGTAGATGTATCTTATGTAGAGACATTGAACCCAGTATGCTTGAGAATTCTTTTCCTTGAAACACGTGTTAAAAAAAAAAATTCTGTCAGCTGTAGTGTATAAATCAAGTACGGCTTAGTTTCCAAGAACTCTGTCTCTATTTACTTCACCACTGTTGACACAAAATATGATGGGATCAATTTCTAGGTTTGATTTTTACACACTAGCTGTACATGAATATTTTTAAGGTGATTGCTTCTGCTCGCGTTCCAATTTTTGCCTTCCCAGATTTTGTTTATTGTTGCTTTATTTCAGATCAAATTCTCCCCTAAGTTGTGTTCCGAAAGTGTGCACCAGTCTTCATGGGTTGTAGCTTTGTTGGAGCATCCCTAAGTGTTGTTCATTGCAACAAAAAACTGGCTTTCAAATACAAATATAAACAAACGAAACAGTAATTGGAAATAGTAAACACAACAAAAACTATACACTGTATGTAAAGGTTGTGAGATACTGTACATTTAAATAAAAAAAGGCACTAGATGTGGTCTTTACAATTAATGCAAATTTCTTGTGTTCAGCTTTTTAATTTTCCTCAGATGGTAAGAAAATATGAGGGAGCCTAAGAAAATAAATCTAGAGGAACTACAACTGTGTGAATCCTAAACAAGGGTGTACAGCAGAAAACAACAACAATAACAAACAAACAAACACTCAGGATTGGGGCAGAGGAGGGGGGGGGGTCTGGAATGAGAAATACAGAGCAGAGCTGAAATGATGAATTGCAAAACAACTCTCCTGTGCTGGTCTCGTTAAAGACAATGCACTTTAAGGTCATGGACAAATACATACTCTTGTCCATGTATTGATCATTAGCTCAAGGCCAGGGCCAAATACATAAAAAGCGCTACCCGTAAAAATATCAGCAACTACACTTTTGTATGTATTGTCAGTCGTCACTTTTCAGTTATTATGTTTTCTAATAATTTCTCTCGAGTGCATCCACACATCAAAAGTTTGTTGAATGTTTGTCCTTTTTGTGTTAGCTTTTTTAAATTGTAATGCTTTAGTTATGCAACCTTTATTCTCAATAGATTTTGATTTCATTTATATTCAGATTATGACTGTCTTTACTTTCTATATTTACTTGAAATACTGAATTTGTTTCCTCCTACTTCCTAAGATTTGATTACTTTAATCTGACCAGCTGTACTTGTATGAGAATCTGCATGAACCTACATATTCATATTTCATAAAATGTAGTTGTTTATTTATTTGAGGCAGTAATAGTCTATAAGTCCTTCATCTGTAAAGTAACTTGATTTTAAAAAAATTTGTTTTAGTAATAACATTCAGCGGGTAGGCCTATCCCTATTTTTATTGAAAATATTGTTTTCACAAAGAGGCCCTGAAGTTATGCTTTTCTTGTGTATGATAAATGTATTTATTACATCTGTATACAGCCACACACACTGTATATTTAGTTCATTTTTTTTGCTATGAGGTAGCAGACAAAGTGAGAAATTATTAAAAGCTGACTCGATATATGAAAGATCTATCGTTCATATCCAAAAGAAAATTGAATAGGGGTTTTTAATCAGTGGTGTAAGAAATTCAAATTGACCTGTTAATTAACTTCTTCAAATTAGATAAATTCATCATGAATATTGATTATATCTTAAATCTTTTTCATAGGAAATGTTGTGAGTGCTGGGTCGATTAGTATTCACGCCATGAAACTTATGACGCCAAGTTACAATGAAGTACCCTTTAAGTGTAAATCACGTCTGCATGTATATGTATATGTGCGTATACACTGTCTGTTCAGAGCCAGAAGGGCATTATTTCTTTGTTACATCATCAATGCCCTTCTGGCTCCAAACAGACGGCATGTATAAACATGAAGTTGCCGGAAATACGATTGTGGTTAAAAGTTTTTTAGCCACCTTGATGAAGACTTCAGGGCTGACATTGTTTACCTATGGTGGTATGCTAATAGGGTATATTTTTAGATCAAAAAGTGGGAGGGGTCTGCCATTGTTATGTATGACCTTTATTATGTAATTTGTTTAGAGAAGGCATAAGATGTGTGAAGTTTATTATGAGTTTTTGTGTGAATTATTCTTTACATTAGTTCTGTCTGTGTCTGAGCGATTTGGTTTTTCTCTTCTTCCCGTTTCTCTGCTACGTTTTGAATATTTATTGTTGTTGTTTTCAAAGTATGAAAATGTATGATGTGTTTTTTAATTTATATTTGCATGTATTTGATGTTTCCTTTATTCTTACTTCCACTTTCTCTGGCTCTCACATTCGTGATACCCTCTATTGTCTCTTCCTCTGGATCTCTATATTTCTGTCTCTCATTGCACCCCCCCCCCCCCCCCTCTCTCTCTCTCTCTCTCTCTCTCTCTCTGTACCTCATTTTTCTCTTTCTCTATCCCTTTTCCGCTTTCATCTATCTTTCTCTCCCTCTCTTATTCTCTTCTATGCCATGTGTCTCCCATGTTTTCTTTATAATCACTCTTTACCCTGCCACTTGTATCTGTTGTTTTCTTCTCTCTCCAAAGACCTTTCTTTGTGAGGTGGAACATGTATCCCATTTCTCTGTTCCAAGTCATTGAATTATATTTACATCTGTTGTGCATTCATATCTTTTCGATTTTCTTTCTAGTATGTGTGTTTTTCTAACACCAACGTTTCCATCGGTAAGCGCTTGGAAACCTCATCACAAATATTAGATACGTAAAGTACTTTTGCTTTTGTAACAACCATTTGTATATTTACTACTTGTATAAATATTTACCTGATAATTTGTTTTGTTGTAGCGTTCAATTTCACCGTTATGAGATACAGTGTGTGTTCATTGGTTTATTGATGATTATGCATTTTTTGTATGTCTTTTTTTATTAAAAGAAAAGCATTCCAAAACAAAGACGATTAATCAGACTCTTCAAGTTTTGTCATTGGTGTGGAGATTGTAAATTGTGTTCGCAATGCAACTTTCCCTGAGCAAAAGAACCGTGTAGGAGCAAGGAGTGTTATTTTGAAAAGTGGGAGAAGAAAAAGAGGAAGCAAGTAAGAGAAAGCAACAGCAAAAAATACATTTGAGCAAAAGAATCATGTACGAGCAAGGAATGCACGATTCTAGAACACGATGTTTTCAGTGAAAATAACACGCTCATTCCATCATTTGAAATGCGCAACTCGTTTACCTTTCCGTCGGGAAATATCGCAACTCGTTATTTTCCAACATATGTATTCATGAAGGAAAACGTGATTCTATAACATACCAGGATCAGGGGAAGCGTAACAGACCCCCCCCCCCCCCCCCCCCCCCCCCGCTTGAGAAAACAAACATACTTCGTGCCCTGTATAATTTCTTTATGTAGTTTATTTGGATTTGTACCATTATTTAATAAAAGTTTCATTCGTTTCAGAATTTAGAAACAGGATGGTTAATATTTTGGCAAGAGGCGTCA